CTCTTTCCTTAACTACAACAAAGTAAATATTGATAAAATGCAAAGAGCAGCAAATCAAACATGCCATACTGCATTAAATCTATATTCATTTTGGACATGGAAAACAGTCTTAATGCCCGCGTACACTAATCACAGGTTAACACCTAAACGTGTCAGAATTCCAAATTTGTTCTCCCTCGTAACCAATAAATCAACACACTTTGCCAACGCCTGGCGGCTTTCAACGTGGTGTTATATAAGACTGGTTTGTATGACCATTAATAGTGTTGGAGACCAAATTCTTTTTGTGTCTTGAAATTTTTGTATTACTGTATACTGAAAAACTCATGCGGTCAGTCAAGGATTGTTAAGCGAAACGTGCATTTGTTTCATTCTTCACTAAACATGTTTCCCTTCAGCAGGGACCAACGTTTGGTCCAGTTGTCACTTTCGAGATCTGAAAAATGTGCTCATCGTCAAGACAAGAATTCTTCCCCCCAAATGTTGCCACTTAGTGAAGTATCAGAAAGTGCCATCGAAGACATAGTGGACAATGTTTTCTTGAACAATACCTCAGAATTAGATATTTCTGTGTCATGCTTTGACACGTCGGATTTTTCACTGGATACTTGTTCAACACTATGCAGAAATTCGTCGGTGACCCCGTTACGAACCTGAACCAACTTCAACCACTCTTGGAGAGCTTCAGGGGCGGGCTTCTTGTCCTGCCCTTTCAATCCCAACGAGTTCTCTGGATGTTACGTTGCAGTCTGACGTCACTGTAGTTTCAGTTGATCATATTGCTGTCACAGCTGATGTTACTCCAGCTCCAGTTGTTGCCAGTATCAACACAACCGACATCCTCTCGGCAACATCTACCGACACAGTCGACGTTCCCTCAGCATCATCTACCGACACAGTCGACGTTCCTTCAGCATCATCTACCAACACAGTCGACGTTCCCTCAGCAACATCTACCGACACAGTCGACGTTCCCTCAGCAACATCTACCGACACAGTCGACGTTCCCTCAGCAACATCTACCGACACAGTCGACGTTCCCTCAGCAACATCTACCGACACAGTCGACGTTCCCTCAGCAACATCTACTGACACAATCGACGCCCTTCTAGCATCAGATGCTGGCCCTGTGGACTCAGTCAACGACCTCCCGGTATCAGTTGCTAGCACGGGCAGCGGGGTGCTAACATCAATCTCCTGCCTACCCGAGCCACCTGCAGAAGCTGTCCCCGCAGATGAAGAATTCTCTACCCTGACCCAAAAACCAGGGAAAAAAGGTGTTGAAAATTGGCAGAGAAACAAACGGAAATTTCTCAGGGAGTCGGGGCAAAGCTATGTCTCTGCCAAGGGCACCCAGAGACCAGCACGTCAACTTCTGGAACCTTGCAACCGTACCTGCAAAGGGATGGAGTGCAATTCTCTTTCAGACGAAGACAGAGCAGATATCTTTGACAGTGTGTGGTCACTATCATGGGAGAGTAAAAAAGCGTACGCCAACGGTCTAGTTGACAAGGTTGATGTGAAGAGGAAGCGGACAACTTCGGAAGTATCAAAAAGATCCTGCTCATATCAATATTTCTTGAAGAAAGGTGGAGTAAGAGTTCATGTATGCAAGAAAATGTTTACCAGTACTCTAGCTTTAGGGGACTGGATGATTCGAAATTCCACTGATTCCTTGCAGTCAGATTCAGAAAGCTCTGCCAAACGCAGTGTTAAATCTCTTGTTCGAAGTGATGAAAAAATGTTCCTGGTGAATGAATTCTTTGGATTATTACCGAAACTCCCATCTCACTATTGTCGTAAAACCTCTGCAAAGCTTTATCTGGAGCATCACTTTCGTTCTCTGGCCGATTTACACCGGGAGTACTTGAAAAAGTGTGAAGAACTGGGCCGCAAGGGCTTGGGACTAATGGTGTTCAAAGAGGAGTTTCACAAAAATAATTTGGCATTACATCATCCCCGAAAGGACCTATGTGACTTATGTGTGTCCCACAGTGTTGGAAACATGGACGAGGAGACATGGAAACAGCACATGAGACTGAAGGAAAGAGCCTTTGCTGAGAAGGAGATGAACAAGAAACTGTCTCTTGAAGGTTCAGCTGACGGAGTCAGGACTGCTACCATCTGTATGGACTTGGAATCTGTGCGTCTTGCTCCCTCTCTTCAAGCATCTGCCATCTACTACAAAACAAAACTCACTGTACACACCTTCACAGTCTACGATCTAGTCTCCAAGGACGAGCTGTGTTACGTGTGGCATGAGGGAGAAGATGGGCTCACTTAAAACGAATTTCCATCGTGTGTGGTAGATTACCTAAACGCTAAAACCGAAGTGGACAAGATAATCATTTTTCGTGATGGATGCATATATATCAAAACAAAAACGTTGTACTTGCCAACGCTATTAGTGACTTTTGCGCTCGCACAGGTAAGACAGTGGGGCATAAATATC